TTCTCAAGGTCACACAGTTAGCTGGTAAGGGGTAACTTGGAGCTATGTGATGTATTGAAGAAAATACAGGACTCTGGATCACAAAACTGGGTTTGTGTCCTGGCTCAGTACAAACCGGCCATATGACATGCTCTCAGTTTGTTTCCTCATCTGTAAAACAAAAGTAGTACCAATAGGTTGTTAGGATCAAATGCCATAATGCTGTGCCATCCATAAAGGCTCTTTTTACCATATGAGGGCTTTTTTTTTTTTTTTTTTTTAATCAAGGGTCAAGATCAGCAGATGAGCTCAGGAGGTTAGATTCAGGTATCTGGTGGTCTTGCTTTATACCACACCTTGTTTCGGACACTACCTCATTCATAATCCTTTTCCAATGTCTGTCCCTGTTCCCTTGGCAGCCTAGAAGCTACGCTCTCCCTCGCCTGTCCTTTGAGGGCTGATTCACTGGTTGTTGGTTGATAACTATCTTCCTAGAGAGCCTGTTGTACTTTCAGTCTCTTGGGCCTTATGACTGCTGGTCAGATTTCCCTTCTTGCCTTCCTGCCTGGGTGGGCCAGCCTATTGCTGGTCTTGTGGGGGAGAGGTCTCAGTCATACTGCCACACCTACTCTTCTACTTCTGTGTAAAACTGGAGATTATAGGCTCAGGAGTTCTGCTGTGAAATGCCAGGGCTCCCAGATAATCCAGTGTATACAAGGAATAGTGCCTTCCCCTATACTTTAAAAGTCTCATTTCATCCATCTAGTCCCCTTGTTGTAGGGTTGTTGTTGCTGCTGTTGAGGCAGGATCTTGCTGTATTTTTCAGGCTGACCTCGAATTCACGATCCTTCTACCTTGTAGGTGGGGACCCTCATACCCACCACCATAGCACTTTATCTCCATTTCTTGGAAACTGAGGCCCAGAAAGAGAAAATGCCTCATCTTTGGTTGCAGTGAGTCAGCAGAATTGGAGTTCAACCTGGGTCTCTGAACTTCCAGTCTAATGTTCTCTGCAGTCTAATGTTCTCTCCATTGCCCTAAAAAGCCCTTATTTCTTTTCCTGAGCCACTCTGAGGGTCTCTGTCCAAAAGTCCTGAGGTTGAACACAAACACACACACACACACACACACACACACACACTCACTCACTCACTCACTCACTACTCACTCACTCATGAAAATAAAATGGTAATGCCATTAATGGGAACCAGAGAGGTAACCTCATAGAGTGAAACCATTTCCCTCCCAGCTGGTCCCAGGGGAAGCTGTGGCCTAAGAGAGCTGGGACCAAGCCTGGGTCTTTTGCAGCCCCCATACCATGAAAGTTCCTTTTCTGCTTCCCTTTGTGGAAGGGGGGTTCCCCTCCACCATACACATTCTGTCTTTGATATTTGAGGCTTTTGAACCAATGGTGAGAGAGTAGGCTGGTGGGAGGGGTCTATATTTAGTAAAGGATCTAGTAGGTCCTTATACTTTTTACCTTCCTTCTGTGTCTGTACTGCCTGGGAAAAAATAAAAATAGCTAGTATTTATTGACTAGGCACTATTCTGAATGCTTTACGTGTATTAACTTATATGATCCTAATGTATAGATATTATTTCATCTCCATTTTATAGATAAGAAAACTGAGGCATAGAGAGGTAAGTGATTTGTCCAGTGTTCCAGCTAAGAAATAGCAAGTAATCTAGCACCAGAGTTTTCATGTTTATACACATAAGCTACATTATACTGCATCTTTTTGTAACATCTTGTTCAGTATTCCTCATTGTGTATCTGTCTCTTAGTCTTGATGAGATTTCGGATGGTGTCAAGTTAACATAACAGGACCTGGTTTCTTTCTGTGTAACCCCATTCTTTCTTCTCGGTGGGTAAAGGGCTCCCTAACCAAGAGTGTTCCTCTCACTTCTCCATAGGTCATTGCTTCCAGAGGGGCCCAGAAGAGGGAGGAGGCACGGCCTCCACTATAGCAGCTTTACCCATAATGCAGAGCATCAAGTGTGTGGTGGTAGGCGATGGGGCTGTGGGCAAGACATGCCTGCTCATCTGCTACACAACCAACGCCTTCCCCAAGGAATATATCCCCACAGTGTTCGACAATTACAGTGCCCAGAGCGCAGTTGATGGGCGCACAGTGAACCTGAACCTGTGGGATACTGCGGGCCAGGAGGAATACGACCGCCTCCGCACACTTTCCTACCCTCAGACCAATGTCTTTGTCATCTGTTTCTCCATTGCCAGTCCACCCTCCTATGAGAATGTGAGGCACAAGTGGCATCCAGAGGTGTGCCACCACTGCCCTGATGTGCCCATCCTTCTGGTGGGCACCAAGAAGGACCTGAGAGCCCAGCCTGACACCCTACGGCGCCTCAAGGAGCAGGGCCAGGCACCCATCACACCGCAACAGGGCCAGGCACTGGCCAAGCAGATCCATGCTGTGCGCTACCTCGAGTGCTCAGCCCTGCAGCAGGACGGCGTCAAGGAAGTGTTCGCTGAGGCTGTCCGGGCTGTGCTCAACCCCACACCGATCAAGCGTGGGCGGTCCTGTGTCCTCTTGTGACCCTGGCACTCAGCTTGGAGGCTGTCCCTGCCCCCCCTACCAGTTGTGCCTTGGCGCCTTGTCTGCCCTCAGCTGTGCCTTAAGGACTAATTCTGGCACCCCTTGCCAGGGGGCTCCCTGAATGCCTTTTCTCCTTAAGGAGGCCCAAAGGGAAAGAAGCTTTTTGGGCCCCACCCCACTCTGCTTGGGAACACCAGGTATTCTCATGAGCTTACCCAGGCCAACGTTGACCCTCCCAAAAGGCCAACCCAGTGCCACCCCCCATTTTCTGCTACTGACCAGTTCATCTTGCTCTCCACAAAGTGCCCATTGTGGTGCTTTCTCTCAGGTTAGGGGCTCAGCCATCTCTAACCTTTGTCCTTGCTGCTCTTGGAATTGCCCCCACACCCCAAATGCTCTCTCCCTTCCCCAAGGAAGGAGCCACAAAATCCTGAGAAGATAAATGTGCCCTAACCTGCTCCCTGTGCCCAGGCCTTATGCATCTGCTGACTGATTAAGCCCCCTGTGCTCCTGGGGGCCTTTCCTACCCCCATCAACATCAATAAAACCTCCTGTTTTCCAGTGGCCCTGGCTCCTCCCTATGTGCTGGGCATTAGGGGGTGGGCATGGGCTAGGGCTCCCCAGAGACTGGGAGCCTTTTGTTTCCTCTAAGAGGGGACAGAAGACAATAGGCATCATTGTGGCTACCCTCCAACCCCCCAATTTCCCTAACAAAGCTCTGGGGCCCAGTCATTGATGCTACAGTGGACTAAAATGCAAAACTTGACAAAAACTTCTTGGTCTAGGCCTCAGAAAGGCAGAGGTTGAGAGCCATCAGCCTGAAGGCAGGTGCTCTTAGTCATGCATCTGACCGCTGTCCCTGTACACCTGTAAGAGGACAGATGTTTACTGACAGGAGTTGAAGTTAGAACCTAGGCTTCTGCCTCAACTGAAGACTCTCCTAAATTTCCCATCTTCTAGGCCTGGAGTCATTACAAGAACGGCTCAATCACTTCTCTCTGGGTTCAGACCAGTCTTAGAGAGATTCCAAGCCTGAAAAAGGGAGGGGGGAGTTGGTGCCAGATGGAGTAATAACCCTGCTGTGGATTTATTCCCTCCATTCTGGAGCCCATCTCTCACCTCAGTTCTCATTAGACAAGATTAGCATGCCTAACCCAGATTGTTGGCAAAAGAAAAAAATTTATTGTCATTTGAAATAAAATGTACAACCAAAAGAGCTCAGGGTCTAGGGCAATAGAGAAGATAGGACACCAGGGAGCCCATTTTGGGGTAGGGAACTGCTTCTGACCCCTCTCCCTTTGCAAAGGAGAAAGGGTCTGAAAGCCAGTGATTTCAGAAAGGAAAGGGAAATACATGCTGTGCTGGTGCTTTATCTGGGATGGGTCATCCTTCAGGTACAGAACACCTCCATCAGATGGCATCAAAGCCACACCGGCAAAGCCCTTGGAAATCACATGGCACACCTCCCCTCATCATACACGTGGGCATGATGAGACTGACAGGGAAGGATACACACCCGAGGGCATAAAACGATCAAAGAGGTAAACTACAACAGGACTACAACACCTGGGCAAACTCAGCAGAGACTACAGCCACAGGCCTGCAGGCCCGTGCAGATCATCAGACACTTTAGTCAAGTGAATGACTTAGACATGGTTGTGGTTTTCAGGTAGCAGCCACTGCTCAGCGGTCCCTGACCTCAGTCAAAAGTGGCTATCTAAAGGCCAAAAACTGGATGGTGGTCATGAACCTCAGGCCTTTTTTTAGCACCAAGAGGTGAAGCTCTCCTGCCAGCTCAGCTTCTTAGGGCCTCTCAGTTGAGGGCGATGTTGCTTGAAGGCCTCTGTGCCTGTGTGAGGGTTGGGGAGGAGAAGCCAACAGTGCTAGGGTCAGCCTTATCCTATGCCCTTCTTCCCCCTCCCCAACTTCAGAGGGGCCCAGACAGGACATAGGGATGGGGAAGGCTGGAGTGCTATCTTGTTTCTTGTTTCTGGGTAGTGGGTTGCCTCATCCCAGTATCAGAGAAGGGTTCAGAATCTCTTTTCCTCAGGCTGAGAGGTTATGAGCAGCTCTTTGTTGCCGAAGTCCCACCAGGCTGTCATGTGGAATGCCATGTTGGTTAGGACAACAGTGTACTCCAGGATGGCAAAGATGGTATACACTGTTGTAAGGACACAAGGAATAAAGCATACTCTCTTTTAGGGTCCTTTTAAATTACCACGTTACTAGCCCACCACTAGGAACACAATGGCAGCAGCTATTGCCAATGGTCCCAAGACTATTGCCCACTATCAAAAACATCACAACTGCCCAAAAGTTATTTATGACCATCTGTGGATCCTAGTCTGGCCTCACCTCCTGCCTCACAATACATGTTGTGCCGGAAGTAGACAGCCAGTGCCGAGAAGAAGGAGATGAAGTTGATGATGAAGAGTCGCTGTTTCCAGCTGTAGGACTTGCGGTCCTAGGGAATGGGCTGTCTGATCACTCCATAGCTTGTTAGATATGTGTGGGCAGCTTCTCCTCAGCCCCTGGGCTTCCCCTCCCTTGGTTCCCACAATGGTCATGGAAAGGAGCACATTTCTTCCTCCCATTTCAGAGGTATGGAATATGAAACTTATAAAGTCACCCACCAACCCAACACCTCCAGGTACTGTGAGCAAAGAAAGGCATGTATGTGGGTGGAGTATTGTTACAGATCACAGTCTGGACACAGTGTTCCTAATCCACTGGGGCCTGGCTGCTATCCCTCATTTTACCCGTTTGGAGCCTCTACCTCTTCTCCCATACTACCACAAAATAGTCCTGGATTCTGACAAATCAACACCCCTCCCCCCAACTTGTACCTAAGCCTCAGCCCCAAGCTTAGTATTCCTCAGGCAGGGATCCTATTAAAACTCCAGTTCCCACCTCATGATTACCAGCATCCTGAGGACAAATGTCCTTGATTTTTAACTGAGCCACCTGGTGCCCAGGAGGAGTAGGCCGTACCTCCTGACTTACTGTGTGCTTCTTGGTGAGCCGCCAGAGAATGCAGGTGAGGAGCATGTGACTAAGGGATGCTGCGATGAACACAATGAAAGCATTTTCGTGGATGGCTGGAGAGAAAGAGGAGGGTGGGGAGCGCTTATAGCAGGAAGAGCCCTCACCTCTACACAGGAAGATACGTGTGTGGGAAGGACTGGCCACATCCCTGTCCCCTTCCTGAGCCCTTCTCCACCCCTCCCTCATCCGGGCACCCACTGAAGTCCTCGGAGGAGGAGACATAGGTGAGCACTAGCAGCGCGAGGTTCTCGATGACGTTGAGGCTGAAGTTGAGGCGACAAAGCAGGCGGTAGCCAGGACACGGGGAGGCACAGCTGAGGTAGTGGTTCCAGTAGGCGAAGGCTGCCAAGAAGCGGGGTGCTGAGTGCAGGCCAATGCAGAAGCGCCACACATAGCGCTGGGGCACCTCCCCGCCAATGGCCGAGCTCACTGACGGCAGGTAATTCGGCACCTAGAGAGTGATGAGGAGTCTGGGCATGGCCTCCACTGGTCTTGCCCCCCTAGGAGAGCCTTCTCCCCAACTGTCAAGGTCACTGGCCTTCAGAAGGCTCTGCTTCAGCCCCTTCCCTTCCAGGAAGACCTCATTCAGGCAGCCCCAAAGCTCTCCCAAGGAACCTCCCCTTCTAGGTCCTGGGCCCACTGTGCTTGGTTCTCATTCTCGAGCAATTCTGGGATGTGTGCAGGGATTTCTCTGTCTCCCCCCAAAACTAGAACCTGCATGTTTGAGCAGGTATATAGATGAGTTCAAATGCTCCCATGCCCTTAGGTCAGAGCTGTGCATCAGATAAGATCTGTGGGAGTCCCAGGAATCCCAAGACCCCAGATTCAGACCTGAAGACAGGGATGAATCACAGGGATGAGTCATAGATCACCTGACATTCCCAGCTGAACTGTTTCTCTCATTGTTCCTAGCTCTACTCATTCCTTAGGGCAGGTGTGCCAAGGTAATAAAGGGTACTGGGAGATCCTGGAGGAGCTAGGCCAAAACGGGTATGCCTAACTTGATCATGTTTAAGAAAGTCGGTGCTTCTAACCTGGGATAAAGTCTGAGGAGATGACCCTATTCTTGTGCATCTCCCCTATTCATCTTTCTCAATGCTTGGAACTCCTCATTCCATAAGGTACTGAAGCCTCACTTCTTATGGTGAGCAAGGAGGAGAAGGTAATATTCACACAGCTGCAAGGACTGGTGTTGCCTGTGTAACAGGTGAGAGGGTTGAGGATGAGAGAACAGTAGTTTAGATAGTACCAGGAAAGTCAGAGATGGAAAGAGGATCTCTTAGACTTTGGGTATAGAGCAGTGCTTTACAAAATAACATGCATGCAATTCACCAGGGGAACTGTGTGAAAATGCGGGTCTAAAACCCAAGAATCTACATTTTTAAGATTCCAAGACTGGAAGCTGTCGGTACACTGCTCATACTTTTCAAAAATAATTTTAGGTCCTTAACAAGGGCCTGGGCAGCACCAGAGCCCAGCAACCCAGCAAGAGAATGAACCTGCTCTATCCATGGAGGGACCAGTTCTCATAGACAGAGTTCTGAAAGATCCTTTCCTTTCTTCCAATGGAGATGCTGAATGGGTCTCTGGACTGCTAGGAAGGTGGGCAATGCTGGAGGCAGCTCACATAGCAGGAGTGGGCCTGGGGGTTGGCCAGCCAGGTTCTTCCAGCCACCACAAAAAAAGATGAGGAGTTCCCTTCAGCACTAACAGAGGAAGTTAAGTGCAGAATTCTCAAAGAGAAGACACTGGTGCCAAGGCCATGGCTTGAGGTACCATGACCTGAAAACAGGCTCAGATGTTCACTCTGAGTAATGAGTGAAGAGGCAGTATGAGGTTTTAGAACTGCACAAAGCTGGGTCTGCATGTTAGCTCTGCCTTTTTTTTAGCTGGGTGACCTTGAGCAAGGCACTTTCTCTGAGTTCCAATTTCCTCATTGGTAACATGGGTACAATACTACCTACCTTGTAGGGTGATTATGAATTCTAAATACAATGTATGCAGAGTACCTGCAGTGTTGGGACAGACTTCCCTGCAAAGCTTGCAGAGACGCTGTGAACCATATGGCCACGAAGCATAGGAAGCCTGCTTACAGGTGAGAGGCAGGACACAAGACACAGTAAGACCTGCCAGTTTCCTTACATGATTCTTCAGCTTCTCTGTTCCCCTGAGTTGGATTAATGAGAATGTTGCCTCCACTTCCTGGAATATTTATTCTGAAGACTGCTTCTTAATTTCAGCTACTTAAATGCAATAGAACCAGCATCTAAAGCCTGACTAGGAGGGCTCAAAGCATTCAAGAGCAGTGAGCCCTGACTGATCTGGGAACAAGTATTAGATAAAGATGATACAAGTTGGGTAAGGGATCGGGAAGAAAGAGAGGTCCCTGTGACTGCCAGTCTATCTTCACAAACTCCTCTCAGATTAAGGGTGGAAGCAGGATTCCAAGAGCAGGGATTGTCTCTTCTATCACATATGTATACACAGACACACACACACATACACACAATCGGTAAACAGACCCCTACCTCCTGCCCCATCCCCAGCACTTAAGTTCTTCAACTATATCGGAAACAAGCAACATCAGGAGCTATCAGAGACAAGGAACACAGCTCACTTCAAACTTCTCCATAAGCCCAGAGCTAAAAGTACTAAGAGATGGGTAGATTACTCCTTTCTGGCAGGGCAATAGATCAGATCAGAAACTTAAAAGAGAAGAGTTAAAAAAAAAAATCCTCTACTGGATTTTACCATTAAAGATTCATTCCTTTGGCCTCCAGCAAAAGTCCCCCTCAAGTTACAGATGACTTCTATACCTATCTTGCTGTCCCCCACCCCTTGCTGACTGAACAAAAACTCTAATTCCTGCCAGGCGCTGGTGGTTCACACTTGTAATCCTAGCTACTCAGGAGGCAGAGATCAAGAAGATCGAGGCTCGAAACCAGCCCTGGCAAATAGTTTTTGAGACCCTATCTTGAAAATACCCAACACAAAAAGGGCTGGTGGAGTGGCTCAAAGTGAAGGCCCTGAGTTCAAGTCCCAGTACCGCAAAAAAAACAAAACAAAACAAAAAACAACCTCTAATTCCTGTCAGTCCTCCTTGCTACTCCTTTGTGGACTTCATTCTCTTCTCTCTATACTCACCATCTCCATTCCAGGTCTGGTCTCCAGTCATATGACCCACTACACTAGCATCCCCACTGGTCTCCCTACTTAAATCTGTTCTCCAATCAGGAGTTAGAATGATCTTCTAAAGCACAAATCTGATCATATCTCTTTTCCAGCTTAAAATATTTCCAAAGCTCCCACTGGCCTCAGATAAAACCCTAAGTTGTCAGTCTGGGATTCACAAAGATCCCTTTTCACCCTCACCACCACCTCCTAGCAACAATGTCCCCTCCTCCCGAAAAGAATTCTTCCCCAGGGTCCAAGCTGGGTTAAGTGTCTCCTCTGATCACTGAAGTCCTTGCATTCTCTTTTATCACAATAAGAATCCCAACTCATTATGTTGTGACCATGTCTAAAGACTGTCCCTTGCAGGAACAAGAATGCTAAGAGCAAGTCCACATTCAACTCCATGCCCCTGACACAGAACTTCTGCCCCTGAGTACTCAGGAAAGACCAAGTGGACTGATCTGGGAAACAGGAACTCCATCCACCTTTCCAGCTACCAGAGCCCTAAGCGGACACAAGTTGAGAGGCCTAGGGCTGCCAGTGGAGGAAAAAAGGTTGAGGATCCCAGAGAGGGGCTGAGGCTCTTCCAAGAAAAGTCCCCCAATCTGGGCTAAAGCAACCCATTTTATCTCCAGGCTCCTGGCTTCATCAGACCTCTTTAGTCTGGTCTTCCTCACCCTCCTCTTCCCTCTTATGATCTCTCCTGCCCAGTCCCATTCCTTTACACATTCTATAATCTTCTTCCAACTCTTAGAGGACTATAGACCTACTCTCTGAGCTTCTGCACCCAAATTCTCCGTAACTGACTTGCCCCTCACCCCTAATTCTTTTATCCTTTTCCCTCTCTGACCCTCTACTTCACTCCTACTCTGACTCCTCCCTTACTACTATCTCCTGACCTGGTCTGGCCCACAGGTTGGGAAGCCTGGCACTCACCCCACAGTCAGTAGCCACCGTGTATTCAAAGTGGAACAGCAGAGACCAGATGATGCAGAAGAAGAAGCCGAACACGGGGAAAGTGATGACCCACCAGACAAATGCTGTAAAGCGGAGCCGGAACACGGTCCCATCGGGGTCCAAGGGCTGGGAGGCTGCAGAGAACATCCTGTAGGGAGTGGCCCAGGCAGGGCGAGGGACACAACTTGGAGCCTAATGGGATACTTAGACCTGGGAAGGTGGGGTCTTTTCTGGAGCTGGCTCCTCAGAGTATAAGGAAGAACCAGAGCATAAACAATAGAAAGAGTGTAAGACCAAAAGAAAGACTGCAGAGGAGGAGGAACAGAGAAAGATGGAACAGAAATCACAGAGACAGGCAGGGGCAGCTCTTAGGAATCCCCTGGCACACTGGCCTCCCCTCCCTTGGGTCCACCTTTTGAAGAGCTTGGACAATAGAGGCTCCCAGAGGCCTGGAAATGGATGGCTCACCTCACAATCACCTCCCTCAAGGATCAGAGGTGGAAATGTTTTTACTCCCATACCACAGAAGGGGACACTAAAGCCCAGAACTATGTCAGGATTATATGCTAGCCTCTTGCTACCTTAAGGCTTCCTTCAAGCCAAGCAACCTGGACAAAGGACCCTTGGTTCAAACTGGATGCACCCTTCCTCCTACAGACCCTGTCTGACCACATTCCTCCTCCTCACCCATGTTCAACTAAGAACAATGAGAGTATACTAGAACCTACTTCAGTGGGGCCACAAGCTACCAGCCATTCCACCCCCAGGCTCTGAATGAGCCAAGACTCAGGATACACTGACCTGAAATATCAGGGTCCCTGTGGAAGCCCAGACCCCCAACTCCTTTCCCTCTGAGACTATGTCACCCAATCCAAAGTTTGGGGAAACCTGAGGGCCACAGGAATCTTCTCCACTCAGCTTCAGTCTGCCAAGCTGGGTCAGACCTAGGAAGCTTCTGTACAGGTCAGATGCAGACCCAGGAAGCTAGACTTCTTTCTACTCCCTTCTCGCTCCCCACAATCCCTACTGCCCTCACCACCATGGCCCCCTCAAGCCATCTCTGGGGTAGACAGAGATAGATTTATATTAAAGGCACAGGACCAACTCTCCCCTTGGGACTTACACTTCCCTCCATTAAGAAGACCCCAGTCCACTAGCTCAGCTCCTCGTCAGGGTGAGGGGGGGAGAGAGCTCACCGAGCAACACTCACACTGGGTGCTGAAGAATCTAGGGCTTGAGATGAGGGCTCTATCCAGACTGAGACTACTCCAAGATGAGAGGGTCCCACCTCCAGGTTCTCTGGACCTGCCCTCTCGCCCACAATGCCCAGTTCTCCACGCCTACCCAGGTACACAGCCTTCCCAGAATCAACAAGGCCACCTCATAAATCCCAGAACACTCTGCAACTGTGAGAAGTGATAGTGGCTGAGGTCAGCCCACTGCAGCTTCTTGCCAGTACTGGGGGTGGAGAACTTTCTGAGGGCTGTGTCCAGAGATACTGTTAGGTTTCCAGAGAGAAAGAAGAACGGGATCTGCCCTTTTGACTAGAGCAGGATTGAGTATATTTGATGAGCTTCATTGAAGAACTGGCTAATCCTGTGATAACAGAATCAGGACCCAAAAGAGTCTAGACAAGCATGAATGTGAGATGTCAATGTCCAGTCTGTACCTGTGCAGAAACAGCTGACAGCTCAGGCTGCATTAACAGAAGTCTATCGGCCAATAATGGGAATGAACGGTTCTGCTTTTGCCTGTATTGCTCAGGCCACCTCAAGTCTTACTCTCATATCAAGGGCCAGCACAGAAAAACAGTTACCAACTGGGTCAAGTCCAAGGGTACATTCAGGATGGGGAGGAGACTAGAGACTCTGTCCTGTGAGGGCTGCCTGAAAAAAACCAGAGCTTTACTACCTGAGACAGACTCAGGGATCCTCATTATTGCCTTTTTATCTCTGCAGGACTAACCTAAAGGCAGGAGAGACTGTCTCTATGGCCATCAAAGTAAAGTCAAGACCAGGGCAGAGATTCACAAGGGGGGAAAAAAAAATCTATGCTCATTATGAGAAGGAGCTTGCTAATTGTTAGTTATTAAACATCCTTAGAACAGGTTATCTGAAGAAGAAGGAAACTCCCCACCACTGAGAATATGGATGCAGAGGCAAAGTTATCAATTACAGATGTGTTGGCCAGGTGAGGTAGCATGTCACCCAGAATTTGAGGATAGAGGCAGGAGGGTCTGTGCTACACCATGAGTTCTAGGTCAGCCTGGGCTACAATAGAGATCCTATCTCAAGAAACAAACAAAAATTAAGATGTGCTAGACTAGGTTGTTTCTAGTCCATGGATACCCTAGGGTCCTAGGGTTGGCCATTCCTGGAATATTCTACATGTAAAATTCAAAGCACATATGAAAAACCTCAGTTGGCTCCAACAGCGGAGTTCCAGGGAGTGGGGACAAAATATTCCTAGAGTCACTAGGCTTAGTACTGCTTCAGAGGGGCCAGGTACCCTTCCAACAACTATCTTTGTCTTAGTTCTCAAAGTGGTATGCCAAGATTGGGTAACAGTTGTACAAGGTATGCTGAGATTATTGATCCCACTATCCCTCAGGGCCAAAAAGGGTAGAGCAAACAGCCTACTCTGTTTAACTCCACGTAATATACAAATTTTATAATTTTGTTTGGGCTATGATTGCTGTACACCATGCCTTCATTTTCCCAGGGCATTGGACTGGGTCCTATTTATTTACTCAGTAATTACTTTCTGACTCAAATGCAGTACCTGCCCTCAAGAGATCCTGGTCTGGTGGGGAGGACAAATCCAAGTATGATATGATAGAAGTATATGAGAGTTAACACAAGGGACAGTAGGTACCCAGAGAAGGGAGTTTAAGTTTGCTTCAAGGAGGCTAGGGAAGACTTTTTGGAGGAAGAGACATCTTGGCAAAGAATAAATAGGAGTTGGCCAGAGTAATAGGAACATGTGATGAATTATCTGAGGTAAGCAGTAGATCAGGAAAAGATGATCCCTCCCCTCAGATCACCAACTCATTCACTTTTCTTCAGTTCTGTTCCTTCTAATAGCTCCCATTCTCAGGTCTTATCAGACTAAGGGCCCATAGTTCAAGGCCATGTCTACCCACCAAGAAATCAGGAGGGGAAACTTCAACTCATATGAAAAGAAGTGGGTGCCCAAATCCCAAACTCCTAACTAAATCCCTCTGCTAGTCCTAGCCCTGCCTCTGAAGCAGATGCTCTTCCTATAAAGGAAATTGGCTGGGGGACATTAGAACACTTTATGAGGTTAGCCCAAGGGCCCATGTCCAAGCCCTACCACTTCTCCACTACAGTCCTTAGGCTGACTTCATCTCCTGCTCTGCCTTCCAACCCGACAATCTCTTCTTCCTCCTCCTTCTGCTCATCCTTCACACTCCCAAACCACCTTCTCTGGAGCTCTACAGTAGCCCTGGAAAGGAACAGGTCAGAAATCACCAGCCTTCTACATAGAAGATCAGCCTTTGGGGTCTCAGGTAAAAGAGAAACAGTGGGTCAACAAGGAAGGAGTGCAACAGAGGTCAACAAGTCCTCACCCCATTTACTCTGACATCCTACAGAGAAAGAACTCGCATATCTTTCTTCATGGCCCAGATACTCCATATCCCTGTCCAGAGTATGGATGACCATCATCAGAACCTCAGAGGGTCTGGTACCCGCCCCAAAACACATATATGTGCACATAGTCAGGTCCCCACACAGACAGGCACAGATATAGTTTCTCTCATACACATGTCCCATTCAAAGTCATTATAGAGAAAGGTCTCTTACAATTATACCACCACCACCACCCACCCCAAGCATGAGAATAAACACAAGCACACACACACACAAAGAGAAAAAGACATACACAGAGAGAGAGAGAGAGAGAGAGAGAGAGAATCACATTCCCATAGAAACAGGCACAAATCCACAGTGCCATACTACAAAACCCAAAATGCCCTCTATCCCAGTCCTGTTCTCTTAACCCTCCAGAAAACCCTGGGGCACCTGAATTTGCCCTCTATAAAGAAATGATTGGGTCCTGGGTTTTGAGGCTGCCTAGCTTCAATGACCCAATGGAAGCTGGAGAGAGACTAATCCTTAAGATCTCAATTTTCAGGCATTCCCACCCCCAGCAGCCCAGTATATTTGAAAGACACCTCTAGAAAACTGGTTAATTCTGTTAAAATCAAATCAGGATCCAAAAAAAAGATCCAGATGGGCCCGAATGAGAGGCATCAGAGTCCCCTAAGCCCTACCCCACAGTGTGTAGCCGTTGTCTCCTTGAAGTGGAAGAGCAGGGACCAGAGGATGCAGAAGAGGAAGGCGACAAGTGGGCAGCAGACTGTGACCAGGGCCACCATGGTGAAGCGGAGCCGGACCAGGGTCCCATCCCGGTCCAGAGGCAGTGGGACCTGGTACATCTTGTTAGACCTGGGGATGGAGTGGCATGCTGTCAGGGCTCCACATATCAGGGCTGGGACTTGGTAGTGAAGTCCGTCTTTGTGCTCCGTCCTAAACTTAGCTGTGTGCTGTGAGTGGGGAATCTGAGAGGAAAATTTCCTAAACATAGATAGCTAAGGCCTGGGTGAGGAAGACAGACTCAGAATCCCAAGAAAACACTTGACCTCAATTTCAGAGGGAAGACAATGAATCCACTCTGCACTACGATGAAGCCTGAATAGATCTGGAGAACTTCTCCTCACCCCTTTGCCTAGCTTGATATGGCTAGAACTGCAGTAGCTGGTTTTTATAGTCTGTCATTATTTTAAGAACCAAACCTAAAACCAACCAGTGGACAGAAGGTCCCATCTCCTCCCCTAGGCCTTTGAGCCTCAGAGTCAGCCTCTTGGTTCAGGGATTCACATCAGTTCTCATTGTTTCACCTACCAGCTCAGGGCCCTCCTGCTGGTCAGTCCCTTCCCAGGCTGTGTGTGCTGTGTGCAGGCATAGCAGTCCTGGCAGCAGGGACTCCATGGAAGCTGACAGAACCTCAACCTTTTGCTTGTCCCCGCCTGCTGCCTCACACGCTCTGAGTGTGAAAGGCTTTGCAGAATCAGGCCTGGCACTAGCCTGGGCTTGCTATTTGCTGAACAGAGCTGCTTGGTCAGCTTCTGGAGGCTTCCCAGTACCCCGGGGCCTGTTCACCCCCTCTTGAGTCTAGGTGAGAGCTCTTGAGGACTATGATTTCTCCCTCAAGCAAGGGTCAGAAACTCTAATAGCTAATTATACACCAGCAATCCTAACCTAGCCCCCCTCAGTGCATAGAAGGGGAAACTGAGTCAGGAATCTACTCGGGGTCATAAACAAATGGAAGAGCCAGCAGTAGGGAGATGTGGGCTGTGAAACTATCATTTTTCTTGACCCTTTTCTGTCTGGGCCAGAGCTTCAGGCAAAAAGGTCAGATTAGGACCAGAGTAAAGGAGGAAGAAATGGAAAACACAAATTCTACATAGATGAGCCAATTAGCCATATTCCCTGAGCCTGTCCCTAGAGTTTAGGCTTCTTGATGCCAAGTACAGCTGGCCCCAGACACATAAAGAACCTGCCTTTCTGGTCTCAAAGGCCTTGCCAAATTGAGTCATAACTCTTCCTGGCCCAACCCTCAGGACTCTCTTCTCTAGTCCCACCCTCAGGAAGAACTCTGACCTCAGTTAGGCTGGCCTCCTGGCATTCCAGAACAAACCAGGTGAACACGCCTCTGCATTTTCATCTACCTTCACCATCTGCCTCTCCACCAGGCCAGACCAGGCAGTCTGTCCAATTTCTCCTTTCTTTCTTCCTTTGAGAGGGAGTTAGGGATCTTCTCAGGGAGTTGGAAGTGACACTGGTGACCCTCCCAGATCCAGCACATTCCCTGGATCATCACTAAAGGGGCTGTAAGTATCTCACAGCCTGGGGTACACCTTCCCCACCCAGCCCAAACCCAGACTGAAGTTGGAGTAGACCTAGTCCCTCCTCCCAACATTCCTTCCTGAAGCCAGCATCTCCTGGCTCCTTCTCTCAGGAACCTCTGGGATCCTAACTGAAGACCAGATTTTTGCGGGGAATCACCCACCCAGGTAGGTAGGTAATGAGGTGGTTCAAGGGACAGTCTCAGAAACAAATGCTGGGCATGGTGGTACACATCTGTAATCCCAGCACTTGGGAGGCCGAGTCAGGAGGACCTCAATATGAGGCCATCTTGATCTACATAGCAAGAACCTGTCTCAAAAAAAGGAAGAAAGAAAGAGAGAGGAAGGAAGGAAGGAACAACAAAGAGAGGTGGGGGGGGCCCACAGGGGAGAGAGGTGACCCAAACAGTGTATACACATATGAGAAAATGTAAAAACAATAAAATAAAATTTTAAAAAAGAAAAAAGAAAAGAAACGACAACAAAAACCAATCCATTCCACTTCTTAGTGGCATGCCTGGCTTCCCTTTCGGCTGTGTAACCTTGGGCAAGTCACTAATCACTCCCCGCCTGTTTCCACACTTGTGTAACAGGGGGAGCATATCGTTTAGATTATTTATAAGGCTCCTCCAACTTGGTTACCCTACTCTCCACATGTGAGGACCAACAGCTCACTACCTGAAGTTGGGCCTCCAGGTTTAGATGAAAATTGCTTTCTTAGGAGCTCTCCGAAGTTCCTGGAGATCTTTTCAGCTGCCCCGCCCCCATCAGAACTCACTTTCTGAACTCAACACTTGATACATATTGTCTTTTTAAATCCTATTATTCTATGAAGTAGGCGCTGTACTCTGTTTCCATTTTACAGAAGAGGAAACTGAGGTTCACCGTGGTTAAAACACTTACTCAAAGTGACAGACTAGTAACTGGCAGAGCTGAGAATGGACACTAGTCTATGGGGCTCCGAGGTTCCCGCACGCCTCCATCCGCCGCACCTGGAGGAATCCTGACCAGGAGGCCCTGAGGAGTGAAGACCGGAGAGCGTTAATCCCTGCACACCTAGCTCCACATTGGGGAGGGGAGAGAAGGGGAGAGGGTCAGCTGCTGCGGGTCAGGACTCCAGCAGTTCCTCGGATACGGACAGTGCGCAGGAGGCCGGCAGGCACCAGGACACCTGGGAGCCGGGCCTGCGGAGGCCCGGCCGCGTGGCCGAGTTCCCGGAGCTGCTGGGCTACTCAGCGGCCCGGCACCGCCATCCCCATACTCACCCAAGCGGTGGCGGCACGAAGGCCGCATCGGCGCAGGCCGGGAGCCGGGAACCGGGGCACCCGGGGAGCCCCGGCGGGGCGGGGGGCGAGCGGCTGGGGGGCTGGCCGGAGCGGGAACGGCGCGGGGCGGGGCGGCGCGCTTGGGGCGGAACTTCGGGAGGAAACTGCTCCCGCATCCACTCCTGGCTCCTCCCCGCTTTGGGGGACCCCGACCCCTGACTTTCCCCCTTATTCTTGCGTCTCCTCAAACCAAACCTCCCCCGCCCTGTCTGCGCCACTAATTCTCGCTGCGTGAGGGCAGCCGTAAGAACGCTGGACGCCTGTTTTGACATGTTGGATAAGCCACCTTGTCACCTTACCTCTCAGCTGCATTCTGTCACCTGTTGAAAGAACATAAAATTAATTCTCCCCGCTTTCTCTCACTCCCTGGCTCCCGTTTCTTCTGTTCTCCACCCCCCCCGTCCCATTCTAACCGAATTATCTAGCCTCGCCCTTCTAAAACAATAGCCGTCCCTCCAAACTTTGCTTATCAGATCTGGTTAGGGCATTTCAGCAAGGGCAGGAGCACCTTGCATATAGTGAGATATTGAAGGCCCACCCAGAAACTCTGGGCCACTGCCGTGTCGACCTTTGATCAGGAGATGGCGCCCTGTCCCACCCGGCATAGTACAGGAAGAGTATCTTCTGCCCCAGCCTAGGGTCTCCTCACAGTGAGGGGGTTGATCCCCAGTGAAGCGGTTCCTTCCCCACCCTGACCCCGGTTGACCTGTAAAGGGGGACCTCCCCCCCCCGCCCCCGCAAGACCATTTTATGCCAATAAAGAAGGAGGGTGAGGGAACCGAAAATCCCAACTGCGGGTATGGAGGACTTGTCAGAGCACCAAGTGGAGGACTTCTAAGTCAGACATAACACCTTTCCCATTTAAATCCTCAATTAATAATTAACACATTCTGAGCAGGACCACTGTGTCCCAGGTGCATTTCTACCTTTTATTTTACCTCATTTAATTTTCATAAAAATCCTCTGATATTAATATCCCTGCTTTACCAATGGAAACCAGAGATACATTAGTACCTAGTAAATGTCAGAACGAGGACCCCTGCACCTGGGGTCATTCCATTAATCACTATACATTGTTAATCCCACAAAGGAGCTATCATTGCCACTTTGCAGAATGGGAAATAGAGGTTCAAATGTGTTGATTAACTTGACTTTTTGGGTTTTTTCATGCATTAGTCTTGTTTGCTAACTCAACCTAGGCCCACTCTGTGACCAGCACTGGGCTGAGCAATGGTAGGGATTTACTCAGGGGCTCTAGATCTGGAAGGAAGGTGTCTTATTCTAAAAAGTGACTTTTCTTGACTTTGAATTTTCCTCCATCCTTTTCTTTAGGGTTCTGGGCAAATGGATTAATAAGAGTTTTGTTGTTGTTTGTTTTGCAGTGCTGGAGGTGGGGAGGGATCAAACCCAGGGCCTTAAACATGCTAAAATAAGCACTTCCATATAACTTCAGCATCTAGATCCAGGTTTCCTGCCTTGGGGCTTTGTGTCTTGTTTGTCTAACTCCACCCCCAGGTCCCTGCTCCTGGCCCTAGTTTCCTATCTTGACTCTTTGTTCCCTTGGTCCTGAGATTGGGTCCCTTTTCCCTGCCTCTAGACTACTCCCCATGCCTGAACCTTGAGGTATTATATAACCTTGTCTGGGGATTTGGAAAATGTGGGCAATTCACCATATGGCCCTAAGCCTGTTTCCTTACCTAGGAATATCCACATTATAGAGTTGTGAGAATTAGAGGTAATATTGCATTGTGCCATGGAAGACACCCATATACCTGGTTTATACAATCTGATGTGCAAGAACAGTTCAAACTCGTCCTGTCTGAGCTTTTTCTGGTCTGATCTCAGATTCTGAATCTGTTTCTTCTTTCAGTTTGAAAGATATGAGGAAAATCAGAAGAATGGATTGTTATATGCCAGGGATTCTATGTATACTCTTTCATTTGATCCTCTTAATCTGGTGAGGTAAATTTTTACAGTTTACAGTTAGAGAAGTTGAGCAAGCATTTAAACATCTAAACCTTGCCCTCGTTCGGAGGCAGTGTTTGCCCAATTGGCATTTGTTCATAGTCCAAGTAGCTGCTGCTGCTGTTGAGGTCTTCTGGTATCACTTGCTCTCCTAGTGGATTTGCCTGGTGTCTAGACATAGCCCAGAGAGGCTCATGCCTGAAACTGCACCACCAGTTTCCAGCTTTAGCTACAGTCACTGCTCTAGTCTCCCTGTCCACACATGCATGCCACACACCCACAAGCAGACTGAGTGTTCCAGCCCACAGTAGCATGGGGGCAGTGTAGACGTGGGGGGCAGATGGGAAAAAGAATGAGATGTAGGTAACAAGGGAAGCTTCCTATATGAGACCTTCACGGGTCTCCTTGCCCTCCTGTCCATCATCCTCACCATTATAACCACATTGGCTCTTTTAAAAACACACATCTGGCCAGGTACTTGTGGCTCATGCCTCTACACTCCTAGCTACTTTGGGAGGCTGAAATCAGGGGGATCATGTTTCAAGGCCAGCCCACACAAATAGTTTGCAAAACCTAATCTCCAGACCCCATCCAGACCAAAACAGATAGGGGAGTGGCTCATGCAGTAGAGAGCCTGCTTTGCAAACTTGAAGCCCCAAGTTCAAACCCCAATGCCACAAACAACAACAA